TTTCGAATTTAGATGGCAGAATTTCCATTGGAACCTAGTTTGGCTAAATTGCTGATCATGTCAGTGGATTTATGTTGTTCGGATGAAGTGCTCACTATTGTTTCAATGTTGTCGGTGCAAAATGTTTTCTACAGACCAAAGGTGGTTTCCCTTTTCCTCATAATGCATGTTTCAAATTTAATTTTGTTCAAGAATTTGAAGAGGTTCAAATATACATTCGGAAAATTTTTATTTTGTCTTGAAGGACAAACAAGAAATAGCAGATCAGAAAAAGGCGAAATTTCATCAACCGGAAGGCGACCACTTAACACTACTAGCTGTCTACAATTCTTGGAAGCATCATCATTTTTCTCAGCCATGGTGTTATGAAAACTTCATTCAAATTCGAACTTTAAAAAGAGCACAGGTCTGTGTTAAATGTATTATTATGTAAATTTTAATTTTTTAGTTTACGTAGGAATTTTTACATTTCGGAAAATTTCTAAGTTAATTTCTTCACAATTTATTTCTTCTGCAGGATATTCGGAAACAGTTGCTTAGTATCATGGACAGACATAAGCTAAACACAATAAGTTGTGGTCGAGATGTACAACGCATACAGAAAGCTATATGTTCAGGGTTTTTTCGAAATGCGGCAAAGCGAGATCCACAGGTATATTCTTTGTTAGATTCGATATGAGATGGTCAAGATGAATTTGATTGTTCAAAATGATTAGTTTTAAGAATACTGAGAAACTCTCTTTTTTTTTTAGATATCGTTATCAAGAAAGCAGTACCATACTATGAGACGATGTTTTCAATATTCGGAAGTATTTTTATTAGAGGGAGAATTCGGTAGATCAGTAAATTCTCTTCATTCTACTTAATCGTTTTTATTTTTTAGGAAGGATATCGAACAATCGTGGACGGCCAAAATGTTTATATTCATCCTTCTAGTGCACTGTTTCAAAACCAACCAGAATGGGTTGTGTATCATGAGCTTGTAATGACAACAAAAGAATACATGCGTGAGGTTTGTAAATCTTACTGTTAAAATAATTTGTGATAACTTTTTTCAATCACGTCGTACTACCACGGTTTTAAGTTTATTGTTTTGCATCAGATAGTTATGAATTAAAAAAATACATATTAAACTATAACGTTCCTGAGACCAGCTTAATGGTAACAACAATGCATACATTAGTTTTTTCAGGTAACTGCTATTGAAGCGAAATGGTTAGTGGAATTCGCGCCGTCTTTCTTCAAAATGGGCGATAATACGAAATTATCAGCATTTAAAAAGAACCAGACAATTAATCCCTTGTATAATAAGTACGAAGATCCAAATGCTTGGCGTATCACACGATTGAAGAAGAAGATCTACAATCCAAACAGATAATTTATGCTACTTTGTCTTATATTGATTCTCTTTATTTTGTAGAAAAATATTTGGTAGACAAATGAATTTTGAATTTCGTTCCTTGCATTCCCTTACGTTTTTATTAAATCATTAATGTTTTGACTCAGTTATTAACTGCGAATTGTACTTTCCATTGACTACTTTGTCCTTTCATTTTTTTTTTTTTTTGTTATTTATAAGCAGCTCAATAAAAGGTATTTGAAGTGCAAGAATAAACTGATATCATTTATTCGTGCCTGAACAGCGACATGCCATGATATGAAGCTCACTGTTTGTTAGGACTTGATGGCTTTATTCTCAGCAAACTTGCGATTTAAATTCTACTTCCCTAACTCATCAGTAACTCTCTATGCTTGCTCAATCTATCCATTTTTTTCGTACGAAATGTTGGAAAGGTTTATTGGTATTAGTGTTAAATTAAACGCGTGTAAAGTATGATGTGGTTGACTTGTTGATAATACAGTAAGAATAAATGAAATCAGTCCAAATTCGAAATATAGGGGGATTGACTACGATTAGAAGAGGCAAAAGGAATGTTTTTATTAAGCAACACAGTTTACCGGAGGATGATAGTTTCCGCAAACTAATTGAAAGGGAAGAAAGATGACGATAATCAGAAGATGTAGTTGAAAATATAAGGGCGGAAAAGATCCTCATAATCCGTAATTGAACTTAATAATATGGCGCAAGTTGTTTACAATATTGAGACATATGATCAAGTAAGTAAGATCTTTGATGAGCAAATGCAATATTATCATAGATCATAATAATGACATGATGTTTGAAAGAAATTTTTTCTAGTACAGAGTAAATAGGTCTGTCCACATGATTAAATGAGTTAAACAAAGGGATAATTAGAGTATGATTAAACAAGTCAAACAAAGAGGTGATAAAATCACTTACTATAAATAATTTCATTTTACTAATAATCATTTATTTGATGATTTTGTGATGTAAACGACTAATGAATAGTTTGTTTTATGAATTTGTTTAATTTATTTTAACATATTATGAATTTCTCGGGTTTCCGACCAATCATTGTCAAGTTCCGAATAATCATTATCAAGTTTGACATGCCATCAAGATGAAATGGCAAGTTAATGTCTCGATGAAGTGTTGTAGTCAGTTATAGCACGGCTGTAACCAAGCAATGCGTTTCAATGACCAATGATCGAGAAGCTGAAATGAATGGTATGTTTGTTGCCTATGTTGGATAGAGAAAGCTATAAGCGAGAAAGCGCATACGTGTAATTTATGCAAATTTCGAATGTTATTTTTGCGACCTGTGGACGATTTTAATTGATAATCATCATTTGTGGCATAGTTGAAGCACTTGTTGGAATGGTGTGTTTTGTTTGATTTAGGAAGTTTTCTGCGATTTCACTAAGTTATAGAATTGCTATGAAAATATCAGTTATCTCAATAATTCGAATTCATTTTTAAATACGTACTGGCGTCTTCTGGATTCTTTCCTAAAAATCAAACTTCAACTAGTATTGATCATAATCATTAGCTGGACGAATTCAGTTCGGTTCAGTTCATTCCGATTCTTCATTCTTTCTTAATTGTGATAGCATTGCTTATGTCAATCAGAAACTGTTGCATCTATTAATAACTTAGTGATTCCAGGTTATGCGTCTACCTTCCACTCTTGTGTTAGTTTTCCATTTAACACTTCTATTTGTCATTATGCAAACAGCAAAGTTTGCTCGCTTTCTCTAACAACATGTCTCTCCGACAATCATAAAAGCGATGACAATTAAGCGCTTTTAAGATCTTATGGGGAACATAATGGATGAAAAGCTTTCCTAATTTTCGAAACTTAATTTCCTAAATGAATCAAAACTTTGTCCATTTGAAATATAGATCTATAATTTGAGCTTCGATAGCATCCCCTCATCATGGGACATCGAGTGATCATATCTCTTGTGCAATTACAAAACCATTCGACATTGCTCATTTTTTGGAATATGAATGAATTTGAGTAATGGATCAGCAATGAAACTGTCCAGATGATTAAGCCCGAAATGTCTTACAATATTCCAATATAATATGCAATAATAAGGTAACAGAAAGAATAGCAAACAAATTTGTTTTTATCAAATCACAAGCAAAATTCTGGCACGCTGCCAGAATTTGGCAAAATTGTATTTGAAAGGTGCTTTAAACATAGAAATAATTTGTTTATATCTCTCGTCTCAGTGACGATAAAGCATGGCCGCGTTTGAGGTGGCAAGAAAAAATGCATATTTAAAATTATGCATTTTGTTTTTAAATATGGAAACTTTTAATCTACACTTTTTTTAAAGAGCTCATGAACTTGAAATCATGTTGTTTACTATCTACAAGGATAGGACCAGGACTATTCCTGGCTTTTAGCTTTTCTGGGTAGGCTCAGAATTTTTTAACTACAAAGCAAGTCAATAAGTTTTTCACTTATTCATTCTTTGCAGATGTATATAATCAGATTATGAAGCTCCATTACTAAATGAAATTTTGTTGCACTCGCTTACCTATTTCTTCCTATTCACTTGGCTGCTTTAGTCCACCCTGACAAAGGTTACAACATGCCTTCCTTCTTAGAGAAGAATTCATCCTCAAAGGATTCACTCTTTGTCTGTTATGCATTTGTATAACATAACTCATTGGATGATTAAATATAGTAAATACTGGCCAATGATTCGGTTATGAATTGAAAATTAAATGTTCATGGCTTGCAACATCATATGACAAATGACAAAAAGATCTGCGGGTCATCTTGAATCCTTTTATCAAAAAAGGCAAAAAAGCAAACGCGGTGTATTAATGATCTACTTGTATCATACGTCTAGCATGACTACAGAGCGAAATGAGCGGTCCGTTTCAGTTGTGGAATAATTTTTCCAAATTAATGCGATGATTGGGATCTTTGTTGTATATCAATGATAAGAATAATAAAAATGATATATAATGTCTATTTCGAGGCAATCCTTTAAATCAAATGGCTTTCATTTATAAAATAAAGATTTGTAAGTTGAAGCTTATTCATTTCATAAACCCCCTCAAATAATCTTTTCCTAATATCTATATCTGTTTTGAATTTTCAATGATTCAGAAGAGAGAGAAAAAGCAAAATATTTTCGCGAATGTTTATTTCACAGCGATATAAACATTTTTATTTCTTTGTAGCTTTACGGACGGAAATATTGTATGTTTGAGTATGGTATCATTTATTATGAAACATTACTGCAGGTTTCGGTAAGTTTTACATCATTCATTCCAAATTAATTATTCTACAATACGATTATATCCATTTGTCGACAACTTATTTTACAATACAAAATTTACCAGTTAAATTTTAAAATCATCATTAAATCATTTTTTTTAAACTTATCTATTCGTTGTGAATAAATTTGTATAGGTCGATCGATATTATCATATCGTTGTTACATCTTTCTGATAACACAGTTCGGACACAGTTAAACATCGATGTTTCTGGAAGTAATTCCTGGTACTGACGTATCAAAAAGCCTCAAATTCTAGATTGTAATATTGAAATGGAAGAAATATTCAAGAAAAGAATGATATTATAATCTTAACTGTCAAGTTTTATAGCACTTTACTGTATTAGCTACATCGTAGGACACAAACATTCTATTTTTTTGAACGTATATTGAACCGGATTGAAATATGAAATAAAGTTAAATAGAGAAAATGAAGTTAATTAAATTAAATACCAATAATTTATTTCCTACTATTCAATTCCTCTTTTGTTTTCATCGTTTTATTCTTCCGTTAATGAACAAAGAAGGAAATTTCATTGTATTTGTTCATTCAGAAAGGTTCATTGCATCTGTCTTAAAAGTTCTAACACCATACTCCATGGGAACAGATTCTACCAGACAATATTATCATAATTTGGTGTACCTTACTCAATTTTTCATCTGCTGATCTCTTCATTGTACTCTATTTGATTGCATTCTGATCATTAAGGTTTAGACTTAAGCTCAGCGATATTTCAAAATAAACGACATTTCTCTAATATTAGTCCCACAGCTACAATACAAATTTACATATTGGAGAAAATGGTCATTCTATTCTGCTCATTTAGTTCATACCTTTCTCAGCTTATCGTTATCCTTCCTCAATGTGTAATTCCTAATATACAAAATCTTCTCTCTTACTTATGGCTGTAGTACTTCAAAGACGTAGTCATCATGTCAGTCCAAATATGCTTTCTGTTTCTTATTTATTTTGTACTTTTACGTATGCTATTATTGCTTTCTTTCAAATTTTAAATCATTTATTTAAATTTGATTTAATCGATCATCACTTATAGGCGGTTGAAACAAGCAATTTTGAGGCGCACACGATTCATAAATATTTGCTGTATGGTCATCATTTTCTGTTCTTCTACCTTGTTATTGCACATATATATGAACTTTTCGTTTAATGCCAAGAAAGGTTATCGATTTCATATTTCCAAAAATAATATACTCGAACGATTTCATTAATTTCGTATTTTTCTCCAAAATTCGAAACTTCAACGAAATATGTCTGTTGGAGATTTCAAATTGGTAAAAATCACAAGCATATTTTTTGATATTCAGGATTTCAGTTCCAGGATTTTCATTCTACCAACTATCATTCTAATTTCTTATGAATAGAAAAAAATGTGACATGAATTTCAGAACTGCATAAATAATTATTTATCGTAATTTTTAGCGCGTGAAGTTACCGAAGCAATATTTGCACCATACAATTTCACGGACGCTAGGATACTATTGACTCCTAGCTTCCAACAATGTCCCAGTGTTCCCGTCTTTTATATCATTCGTACTCATCCAGGAAATATGAGATGGAGGAGTATTATTCGCTCAACATGGGCTGGATCTCTAAAACACTCCTTAGTTAGTATAATTCATCCAACTTTTAATATTTTGAGCATATTACTAATCTCTGCTGTTGAACTCTTGCAAACATACATTTTACAGATATTTGTATTGGGTGTTGAGAAAGTGGGTGAAGTAAATGAATTGGTAGAGCTGGAAGCTGAAAAATACGACGATCTGATCGTTTTTGATATGATTGACACTTACAATAACATGACGCTGAAGTCATTAAATATTTTAAGTTGGATTGTTCAGAACTGCCAAGCGCCCCGATTTTTTATGCAGGTAAATTTTGCAATGCTTTTTCTTACTTATTTTAAATCGTTTGAAGGAATCGTCAATGGCTTTTAGTGACATAGCTGCAACTTGTGTTTCCGGTTCAGGGTATGAAACTCAGGTCTGGAATGAGAATACTGTATAAATTGCACTTCAGGGTGATCCAGATATAGTGGCATTTCCGGATGAAATTGCTTTGTACACCTCGAAGCTGGACGCCAATCTG